TTTTTTTTTTAAATACTGAGTCTCACTCTGTCACCCAGGCTGGAGTGCCATGGCACAATCTCAGCTCACTGCAATCTCTGCCTCTGGGGTTCAAGTGATTCTTCTGCCTTAGCCTCGCGAGTAGCTGAGATTACAGGTGCACGCCATAATGCTTGGCTAATTTTCATTCTTTTAGTAGAGTCGGGATTTCACCATATTGGCCAGGCTGTTCTTGAACGCCTGACTTCAAGTGATCCACCCACTTTGGCCTCCTAAAGTGCTGGGATTACAGGCGTGATGCACTGCAGCCGACCCCAAAGTGTATGCTTTTTTTTTTTTTTTTAGTGATTTCTCACTGTATTAGGATAGCCTTTTTATGTGGTATACTCTGTCGCGTGTGTAATGCTGAGTCTGAAACAATGCCCTTCATTCTTTACCTGACTGATTCTTTCTTGACTTAACAAAATCAGCTCAATCATCGTTTCTTCCAGAAGCCCTCCTTGTCCCTGTCCAGGTTAGACTGCCTTTCTGCATTGTTATTATGGATGTACTTGATTACCTATGTACAGGCTGGGGTGACTTAGGCCCTAGAGTATTAGCTTTGTGTAGTGTCTTCAGCGTGACAGGTGCTCTTTAAGTGTGCATTGAAAGGAATAATTAATACGTACATAAATGAATACTCTATTTTTAATTGTTGGAGTTTCAAGAAAACTCTGGAAGAGCATAGGTAATAATGTAGTCATTGGGTCAGAAGTATCCTGTGATTTTATTTGGTAGCAATAAGTAAAGAAATGTGGCCAGGCTCAGTGGTTCACACTTGTAATTTTACCCAGCACTTTGGGAGGCTGAGGTAGGAGGATCACTGGAGGCCGGGAGTTCAAAGCCAGCTCGGGCAATGTACAAGATCCTGTCTCTACAAAATATACATTAGCCAGGCGTAGTGGCATACGCCTATAGTCCCAGCTACTTGGGATGCTGAGGTGAGAGAATTGCTTGAGTCCAGGAGTTGGAGGGTACACTAATATACTGCACTGCAGGCTGAGTGACAGAGCGAGACACTGTCTCTGAAACAAACAAACAAAAAAGAAATGCCATTAAAGTTTATCATCTCTCAAGAATGACAATGATAGCAACCGGTTTGGAGGTTTGAGGCATTTCCTCAGGATAACCCAGTGCTTAGATAAAACCTCTAGGTGAAATTCCAGGGTTCCTTGACCTTTTCCAAATCTGACTAGAGTTGACAAACTCTCATCTTGGCAGGTTTGCTGACTCTCCCAGCATCTGACCTGGCGTGTTTCTCAGTCCCATCCCAAGGTGATGTTCTCTACCACTAGATGGAGCATCAGACCTCAAGTCAAGAGCATCTCAGTTCACTGCTGCTTTTGGTGGCTCTAGTCTAGGAGGGAAGGGGAGACTTTGCCATTGCATGCCAGCCTGGGTGACAAGAGTGAAACTCTGTCTAAAAAGAAAAAAAAAGAAAGAAAATGGGAGGATCTCGTTGACTTGTTAAGGATTTGGGATTTACCTTGTAGTCAGTGAAGAGCCATTGGAGGAGAATGTCAAGAGAAAAGGAAATTCTCTACTTTTTGTTTGCTCTATATTTAGTTTACCATCAATTCTGTGATTAATCTAACATGAAGACAGGCTGTGCTGGTCTGAGACTAGGGCTTAGGGGAAGGAGCACACTGCAGCAACACACAGCAGCATTTGATGGTCAGTATAGTGTGTGAGGGAGAAATAAAAACAGAGTCAAAAATTGATAGACTAGGAAGCTCAAGAAGGAGGAAAGAAGATAATGAATTTATGTTTGGAGATGTTTTTGAGGTGCCAGGTAGATTTGTCTAGAGGGGCCTAAATTTCAGGTGAAAGGCCTACAAATTGCTACTTACAGGTGTCAGATGAATCCACATGTGTAAAACAAAAGTAATCCAGTGAACATACAGAGAGCCAAAATGAAAAGTTAATGGACAACAAATAATAATGAATGTATAGGAAAAAAGACTAGGAGGATATATAACAGTATGTTGATAGTTGTTTTCTCTGCTTACAGAAATTGCAAGGCAGATTTTTTTGTATATTATGTATAGTTATTTTTAATATTAATCAGAAAATAAAGAGTTGAAAATAAAGTAAAAGTAAGAGCTTTGCAAAAATCAAAAGCATTAGACAAATATGAAGTTCTATAAGCAATATATAACAAAATAATTACTTTCTGTAGGTATCTATTCCACATCTGTAACATCATCTGCCTGATCTAAAGAAGTGTATTTTGACAAAATAATGTTTTCACTTGTGAAATTACTTTTATCTGTGCCTCACTTAATCCTTGGGTAAGAAGTCATTGCTATCTCCTGACACTTAGGAAAACACAACAGTTGAGATACTAATAAAGGATGCTTCGGAAAGATTGAGTCACTAGAATTGCCTCATAACAACATGGTGCTGATTCTAAAAATGCTTTGCTTTTGAGAGGGGAGTAGGAGAAAGGAAGTGGAGAGATTATATTGAGGCAGATGGCAT